ACCCGGATAAGATCCAGCTGGTGCAGGAATCGAAATCATTAGAAGCCGACGTTCTTTCGCCGATTTGGCTTATTTTTGGTTTAAACAACTAGAGCAGCTGTTAAATGACCCGTTGTTTTATCTCCGAACCGTTTTCAATAATGAGGCTCATTTTGGATTAACAGGTTTTTAATAATCCAAATTTTGCATATGGAGTGAGACCATTCCACATGAGATCCTAGAGCCTTCATAAAATCCAGAAAAACGTGCGGTTTGGTGCGGTTTACAAGCTGGTGGCATCAATAGACTTTTATTAGAGTATTACCGTATTATGATCAATAAGTTTTTTCTAGAAAATATAGTTGATATTGATCTGAAAGAGATGTGGTTTTAATAGGATGGCGCTACGTGCCATAAAACGACTACAACCATCGACTCATTGAAACCAAGTATTTTGAGACGCACCAAAAAGTCTTAACGATTTCTCCACGTCTCCACGAGAACCGTGGAATAGTATTTAACCAGAAAGTTCAAGCCTTCTTCTTACCAAGGATGCATAATGTATGCATCATTGAGCGACGTAAAGTCACGGGTTAATGTTAATATGAACCAGCAACAATTGAAATTATTCGTGTTATTCCTGACTTACAGCCACCATTGCTCAAAAAGCAGCTTAAATATTGGATGTCCTAAATATGCTTTGTCAAGAACAACAACGGTGCCCATATACCAGAAATCATTTTCAATGTTTAATACCATAAATTGGTTTTTCAAAAAAAAATAGATGCTTTGATTACAATTTAAATTTTTTTCTTTTTATTAATTATATTTTTAATTTCTTATAAATTATAATTTTTATTATCTTAAAAATAGAAAAAATAAGCACTTTTCAATGGGTTTTTGAATTTCAACTGATTATTGTTTATTAACTAGATCATTAAAAAAAAAAAAAAATTACTGGAAGGTTAATTAATTACTAAGATACTGTTTTTATATTAAAGAAGCTTTTTAATGTCAATTTTTATAATTTCTTTTTGTCAACGTTGTTAACAAAAAGTAATTATAAAAAAAATTACTTAAGTAAAATATTTCAAAATTATTTGTTACGGTCAAGCCAATCCTGATTACAATAAATTTCTGAAAAATAACTGAATAAAGGAATAAATCAATGTCTAAGAAACTCTACTAAAGTGCGTGATTTAACAGTCATATTTACATCAAATCTCAAGTGGAGCACACATATTCAAACAATTGTCTATAAATCAATACTAATTCTTGGTAAAAAGAATTAGTATTGATTTATATAGGCATCCACTTTCATTGATGAAAATATGGCTTTCAAATTATATAAAGTGTTTATAAGACCACACTTTAAATATGGAGTGTTTATTTAGGCTCCTTATATAAAAGTTGATACAGCCTTGATTGAATCTGTTCAGCGCAAAACAACAAAATGGACTTTCAGTTTAAAGCAACTTCATT